ATACCTCATTGTAGCTTTGATTTGCATTTCTCTGATAATTAGTGATACTGAGCCTTTTTTTCTGTGCCCATTGATCATTTGTATGTCTTCCTTGGAGAATTGCTTGTTTAGGTCTTCTGCCCATTTTCGGTTTGGGTTATTTGGTTGTTTCTTATTAAGTCATATGAGCTGCATATATATTCTTGAGATCAAGCCTTTGTCAGTTTCATTTGCAAAAATGTTCTCCCATTCTGTAGTTTGTATTTTTGTTTTACTTATGGTGTCCTTTGCTGTGCAGAAGCTTGTAAGTTTCTTTAGGTCCCATTTTTTTATTCTTGCTTTTATTTCTATTGCTTGTGTTGACTGCCTTAGGGGAACATTTCTGAGATGTATGTCAGATATTTTGCCTGTATTTTCTTCTTGGAGGTTTATTGAACCTTGTCTTATGTTTATCTTCCTGAAGAGACTATCTTTATTCCATTGTATATTCTTGCCTCCTTTGTCGAAGATTAGTTGACCAAAAGATTGTGGTTCATTTCTGGGCTCTCTATTCTGTTCCATTGGTCTATATGTCTGTTTTTGAACCAATACCATGCTGTCTTTATGAGTGTAACTTTATAGTATTTTCTGAAGTCTGGGAGAGTTATTCCCACAGGCTCTTTCTTTTTTTCTTCAGTAATGCTCTGGAAATTCTGTGTCTTTGTTGGTTCCATATAAATTTTATTGTGATTTGTTCTAGTTCTATGACATATGTCCTGGGTAATGTGATAGGGATTGCATTAAATCTGTAGATTCCCTTGGGCAGTGTGATCATTTTAACAATATTGATTCTTGCAATCCAAGAGAATGGGATACCTTTCCATTTTTTAAAGTCTTTTTTAATTCCTATCACCAAAGTTTTATAATTTTCTGTGTATAATTCTCTATCCTCTGTGGTTAGATTTATTCCCAGATATTTTATTACTTTGGGTGCTATTTTAAAGGGGATTGTTTCTTTACTTCTTTTTCTGTTGATTCATCATTAGTGTAAAGAAATGTAACTGATTTTTGAACATTAATCTTGTAACCTGCTACCTTGATAAATCCTTCGATCAGCTCTAGTATTTTTTGTTTGGACCTTTTAGGGTTTTCTAGATATAGTATCGTGTCATCTGCATATAGTGACACTTTTACCTCTTCTTTTCCAATTTAGACCCCTTTTACTTTTCTTACTTGCCTGATGCTCTATCCAGGCCTTCCAAGTCTATGTTGAATAGGAGTAGTGATAGTGGGCATCCTTGTCTTGTCCCAGATTTTAGTGGGAAGCTTTTGAGTTTTTCACCCTTGAGTGCTACGCTGGCTGTAGGTTTGCCATATATAGCTTTTATGATGTTGAGTTATGTTTCCTCAATACCCACATTGGTGAGAAATTTTATCATAAATGGGTGTTGAATTTTATCAAAAGCTTTTCTGCATCTTTTGAGATGATCATGTGGTTTTTGTCCTTTATCTTGTTGATGTGAAGTATTACATTGATTGATTTGCATTTGTTAAACCACCCTTGTGCCCCTGAGATGAACCCCATTTGAGCATAATATATAATCTTTTTTATGTACTGTTGGATTCTATTTTCTAGTAATTTGGAAAGGACTTTTTGCATCTGTGTTCATCAGTGATATTGGTGTGTAATTCTCTTCTTTGGTGGTGTTATTGCCTGGTTTTAGTAGCAGGGAGATGGTGGCTTCATAGAATGAGTTTGGGAATATTACTTCTTTTCAATCTTCTGGAAGAGTTTGAGAAGGACTGGTATGAGTTCTTCTTTGTATGTGTGGTAGAATTCCCCAGTGAAGCTTTCCAGTCTGGACTTTTATTTGTAGGGAGGTTTTTTTTTTTATTGTTTATTCAATTTCATTCCTATTGATTGGTTTGTTCAAGTGGTCGGT